TGTCCAACCCTGTTTTGATTATGCCCGATTGAAGAGTGATTATCACTTAAAATCTTGCAATCATAATAAAAAGAAACTTGTAGTGAGAAAAATTCTGTAGTTTTTTAACGAAATTCTCAATTTTATATTGAATCATGAAAACATACTCTTGATGTATAAAGAAGTTTCTATAAATCTATAGCTGTCATTGTACAGCCCTAGACATGTTTAAGGTTTTGTCCTATATTCTAACATTCAAAGAGTTCCCGCTTAGGTCGTATTTATCACAAGAGATAGTATAAACCATCAGTTAAACGATCAAAACTTGCTTTTTTCTCAACAAGATAACACGCTTATGCGAATATGAGAAGCGCTGTCGTTGTACAGCCCCAGACCCTATTTAAGGTGTTGTCCTATATTCTCTGAAATTTGAAAAGTTAACTCTTAGATGGTATTTATCACAAAAGATGGTGAATACCATCGGTTACACGATCAGAAGTGGCCATATTATTAACAAGATAACACGCTTAGGCGAATGTGAGAAACTGAATAACTTAGAAGCTCCATAGGTCCAAGAGATAGGATGCCAGACACGCCAGCGTTCTTCCATTTCCACCGAAAGAAGCATCAGCCTTTTAAAGAAGAAATAAAAAAAGGAACAACGTCGAAGAAAAAGGTTCCCCTCCAAATGCCCAAACAAACAATTTGTCAAATGGAAGAAATCCGGTCGATCGAATGTTGGGTGAGAAACTGTTTTAATACACTCCTCTGGAGGTTTTCTGTATACTTTGGAAATACATAGTTCTTCAAGATAGGCTTGTGTGGCTAGCTTTATATAAATACATCAACACTATCAGATATATATATAAAGCTATACAAACAGTTTTACCGCATAAGTTTATTTTTTATTTATGAAAAATCATTTTTAATTTCAAAGAGAAATTTTTAATATTTCTAACTTTTGGATGACGTATGAAAAGGTTGAATATATGAAGAGTGATGGTCTATATATGAAGGGATGACGAATGGAAGGGTGGAAAATATGAAGAGTAATGGCGAACGGAAAAATAAAAGTGTCCAGGAGCGGGAATCGAACCCACAACCTTCTGCTTACCGGGCAGGTGCCATGTCCACTAAGCTATCCTGGACGTATTTCTCCGTTCGTAACTAATATTTAAACTGACTTCATATATAGACCATCACTCTTCATGTATTCAACCTTTTCATACGTCATCCAAAAGTTAGAAATATTAAATATTTCTCTTTGAAATTAAAAATGATTTTTCATAAATAAAAAAGAAACTTATGCGGTAAAACTGTTTGTATAGCTTTATAATTATACGCCGCAGTCATTTATAAGTACTATCAGATATATTTCTATGAAAAATAGACACTTCGGCCAGTTAGTTTTTTATTTATTTTTATCAACGTTTCGACAAAAATATTTTGTCTTTGTCAGGAGAAGTAAATAAAATAAAGCATTTGGCAAGGCGTTAAAAATTATTCTGAGATTGCAAGGACGTTCTCACATGATTATTTTGTCGAAACGTTGAGAAAAAAAAAACTCTAATTGGCCGAAGTGTCTATTTTCATGAAAATATGAATACCGGCCAGGCAACCTCTATCTTTATGACTATCATATATAGTTTATATTGTTACAGGGATGTATTTTAGTGTCGTTGCTAGCTTTATATATATACATCAGCACTATCAGATATATGATGCACAAGCGCGCCATCTGTTATCAAAATTCGAAACTATTTTAAAGGCGTAAGATTCTTTTTGATATTAAACAATTTCTACTGCCCTTATCAGATATAAACACAAGGTAATAAGACCAAATCCAAAATAAATAAATAGTGTGTGACGTTTCTGCAACTGCGTTGTTACCATCATCAGACAAAAGTACTTAATTTTAGATAGCATAGATTCAGAACTTTTGTCTAAAGATGGTAACAACGCTGTTACCGAAATATCACACACTATTTATTTATTTATATTTGGTCTTATTAACTGGTATTTATATATAACAAAAATAATTTATAATCCAAATTGTGCCTTATCATCAGATATAGTTTGTATTGTTACAGGGATGTATTGTGGATTGCTATACACACTATGGACAACACTATCTGAAATTTATAATAATAATAAATGTGTTTATTATGTTGAAAATATAATCAAATATATAATACCTCTACAGACCTATAAGCCTATGTCCATAGATTCCCTAAACACCCCTAAGCTGCCTTCTTCAGTAAATGCACCTATCCTCCAATTAACACGGTACTTGTTTTACACGTTTTCGCTTTTACACGGTTTTCCAAATAAGTTTTTTTGTTGTTTTTATCGCACTATACTAAATGCTACTGTGATTGAACACATGCGCTGTGTACACATCTCACGAGGAATCCCGAGCTTATGTGTTGACTAGCTGCACACGCACACTGTGTCTGTATTTCTAATTTAAAAAAATAATAATTTTCGATTTACGCGTTTTTCTCAGGAACGTATCTACCGTGTAAATCGGGAGATAGGCATACAGGGTATATAAGAAAACCAATCCAATACAATAGTAGAGCGGTCTGGAGATTGATTTGGCGAAACCGCTGAGTGGGTTTACTAATTATGAACAGGGTTCTCTTATTTCTAATAACTTTAATCATTGCATTGAAGTATGTAGAGATAACATTTGTTAATATTTATCATAAGAACCACATTAACGAAACAATAATTTTAAATGTTATCGATAGATGGCGTTTTAATTTATAAATATCTGAAATTGTTTATTTTGTTACATGAATAGATTGTGCTAGAAGGTAATCTCTGAGATGCAAGTCAAACATCTAGATTATAACTTTATAAACTATATTTGCTGTTATTTCAAATCTGAACAAACCTTTTTGAAGTTTGGATCGAATTTTTTTCTTGAACGGCTGGCCTTCTATTTTTTTTTTTTCAAATTAAAATCATATCAACTTAAATATTGCAGAAATCGTATAAGTTACTTTAGCATGCTAAGAATTCTGTGTAAATAGGGTGTTTCAAAAATTGGAATTAGTCCATATTGGTAAATTGTGGTTGAAAGAAAACCAGAAAGATAGGGAAACTTAATTTAAGTAATCAACATTGGTACGATTCTGAGCTTTTTTTATATTCTTTCTTTAAATATATATAAGGATATAAAAATAATATAAGGTTGTCCCGAAATTCATGTTTTGCTTAAAACGTTGTTTTCTTATTACTTGGCCAATAATATTATTACGGCGAATACATAATAATACAATTACTTTATACATAATACAAAGACATTATACATAACGGCGAATAATATTGGTATTTCAATTTTTTGCAGGTGTTTACGAACTTTTGGGATAACCTTGTATTTGAAAGCAATATATTTTGATTTATTTTAAAATTTCTAATATCTAAGTTGCACGCTCTTTTTTGAGCGCGGTGTACCTAATAAATTTATTTTAGATTTGGAGAACTGGATCATATGAAAAACTAGTTCTTAGAAATCATTGTGTTTTCATTGAAAAATAAAGAAGAATCAAATAGAAATGTAAAAATATGTCTTGGAACAAATGCTCTAAATGATTAAAAAAATAAGCAGTTAGTCAAAAATTGAGGAACATACAGGCTTCTAGGAATTCATTAGGTACAAGGGCAATAGACACTGAACTTTTTTTTTCTAGGTGGAAACTTCAAAGGGTCGCTGTGTGCGAAATTAAATATTCTGCTAACCACGCCTTGAAGTAAAAAAACGGCTCCCAACCCTTCCGCCTCTGTTTTTTCAGCTCTCCAGTGTTCACTCCTTCATAAATCTTCAGCGATGACGGGTCGCTATTTCCAGGCATTGTCGGCCCCAAGCCAGAGACCTCGCTGGAAACTTTGGAAATCTTTTAGTCCAATATTTTTATACATCTCAGTAATGGCAGTAAAACCCCTTTTATTGAAAAAAAAAAAGAAACTAATAATGTTTTAAATAGCTTCATTTCTTGTATACACACTCATGAACAAAACTTAAGGAGGTTGTACCTTTCAGCATGTATATCAGGATTCAGATGAAAACTCTGAAAAATATTACAGTGACCTTTATTGAAGACACACGAGATAACTAAGTGTGAACTACACTCATGGACAAAACTTGAGGAAGTTGTACCTTTTAGCATGTATATCGGGATACAGACAATAACTCTGAAAGATATTACAGTGACCTTTATTGAAGACATACGAGATAACCAAATGTGAACTACACTCATGGACAAAACTTAAGGAAGTTGTACCTTTTAGCATATATATCGGTATTCAGACAATAACTCTGAAAGATATTTGATACACACTGGACTTTTTTTGAAGACACACGAGATAACCAAGTGTGAACAAAATTTCTACTGTCTCTATAAAAATGAGCAGCGACATAAAGGACTTTTAATTTCCTTAAGTTTTGTCTATGAATGTAGATAGTTGACTAATGTCTTAGGTGTGAATTACGCTTAATTGGCTTTTTGTGGAATATTTGTGGAAGATCATTGTTCTATACAAGCATTTATTTATTTATATTTTTAATGTTCTCTAAGCTTATGATCTTAGAATCGTTACAGACCTTAACTATGAATTTCTTACATTTGTCGTATATTTAAGCAGAATATATCAATACAATATCAGAAGAATGCATTCTCTATCATAGAGGTGATTGTTAGAGTCCATCAAGTCTAGTTCTCGTTACTATATGCCATATAGATTCCTTACCAGTGTTTGATATAGAAGTGGCTTGCCAGTGACTTCTTTTGTCTATGCTGTTGGCCGAAACAAATGTGGCTCTTCCGCCTTTTGGGGCGATTTCTCCTCACAAGGACAAGAGAGTGTCCTTCTTCATTACAAGAATGAATTCGAAAGCTTTTCCCGGCTTCAATTTGGTTCCTCTTTTGTGTTAGCCATCTCATTAGGATGTTGTCCATCCTTTACCGAAGTTGTATTCACACTGTGTGTGGGAGCTACAAATAGGTGTATTAGCCAACAGTATCACCAAGTGGTCACCCTCCCAAGTACTGACCAGGCCCGAAGTTGTTTAACTTTGGTAATTAAACGAGAACCCATGTTTTCAATGTGGTATGGGTGTAGGCTCGTGAAGATACAGGCAATATCATATAGCGATATGGCTGATTAACTGTCAAAACCGCTTGGAGGGTTCACCTGCAAATTCAATAAGAAAGTCAAAAATGAAAAAAAAAACTGTAATTATATACCATCTATAATGATAATAAATCCCCAATACTAATGGAGAAATACAAGAATAAATATCGTAAGCGATCAACGCATGAATCGTCTACAAAGGATCATATATCAAAAAAAGGAAATCAAAATGCTAAATAAAGTCACGAATGCAACCTAAGATATGAAGCACAAAACAAGGGAAACGATAATTTGAACTAAAAGGTCAAAAATATACAGGCTAGAAGGTAGAAACGTGAAGCAGAAAGTACCAAAAGATGGAATGCAGAATGGTAAAGAGAGGTATCACCGTGGGAGATGCAGAACAGGGGTCATTAAAACGGAAGTAAAAAACGCCATAAAGAGAAGGTGGAGATAAGAGCCATTTTCCCTCCGCCAAATGTTTTATTTTATATCGCTCTCCTTGCTTCAATCACAATTATTTCTATGGTTGTTGCTTCCTAGGGCAGTACTGGGCTCATGTCTTCAGCTAGGCTGGTGGTAGCGATCACTATAGTTCGTGTAAGGAACACTAAAGCCTAGCGATGCTTCTTGTATGGAACACTAAAGGCTAGTTATGTTTCTTGTATAAGCAATACTGAAGGCTAGCGATGCTTCTTATGCAGAACACTAAAACCTAGTTATGTTTCTTGTACGGATCACTAGAGGCTAGTGATGGTTCTTGTACAGAACAGTAAAGGCTAGCGATTCTTCTTGTACAGAATACTAAACGCTAGTGATGTTTCTTGTACGAAACACAAAAAGTATAGTTATGTTTATTGTATGAGGAACACTAAAAGGCTAGCGATGTCTTTTGTATGGAACCCTAAAAGCTAGCGATGCTTTTTGTAGAGATTACTAAAGGCTAGCGATGCTTCTTGTATGGAATAATAAAAGCTGGCGATGCGTCTTGTAAGGGATACTGAAGGCTAGTTATGTCTCTTGGATAATAAACACTGAAGGCTATCGATAATACTTGTACAGAATACTATAAAGGGCTAGTTATGTTTCTTATAGTGAAAACAAATAGGTCGCAAGAGAGTAAACAGAGATCCCAGGACTTCCCACCTTCCCGGGTGCTGCCCCATACACCGAGGCAACCATGTTCCTATGCCTGTGGTCTTCATTTATCTTCAGGCTAGTGCGTTCCCACTATGGTCCATGAGTGCAAGTTAGATGCGGAGCCTACTGTGACGATGTCGACTCTATCTTTAACAACCTATTACATCCGGCATTGCTTTTCAGCAAGTAATTTGCAATTAATCGCAGTGGTAGGTCTCAATTAAACCTAAGATATCAATCTGCCATATCGGTATATAAGAAAATAGAAGCAAGATGGAGGTGGTGGTGCTTATCTCCATGGTTAAACCAATCCCTGAATTCCAATCCTCTCCAATTTTGCGATGGTAGTTAAAGGCCTGGAAAATAGATCCTCTATTGTCAGTTCTGAGCATGATATGTTCCGGAGAAACTTCTGCACTATTGCATTTCAAGCATTTATTAAAGGTTTTAAGTTCATTTTGAAATTTTAAGGTTTTTATATGGCCACTTCTTAATCTTGTTAAAGATGTTTGTTGATTTATATTGAGTTTTTGAATTTCTTCTAATTGTTTCAATGGTTTGTACTAGTGATGATTTGGATAAGCTGTCAGTAAGATGGTACTTTTATGATTAATAACACATTACTACCTTTTATCTCAATATATGAATAAAAATAGGCACCTCTTCAGTTAAAAATGCATTAAAAACAATGTATTTTGGTTCATCAACACTAACACAGAACATTATATAATGAAGTAGGTGACTCTTTTGATCCGAATACATCATTCTCCAGAAACATTATGTTATATAAATACATCAAATACAACTCTTATAGAGAAAGGGAAGATTGAAATCGTGAATGGAAAAGGAATAAATTATCATTATGTTGTTGTGTTGTTGTTGTTGGTTATTCCTCAAGTCGTTTAAATGATCTCCATTAGGTTCCATTGTCTCAGCTTTTCTATTATAGTCCTGGGGTTTTCCCAGATGTCTTTTTTTGGAGGATATGATACAATTCAATAGATATTCAGGACTAGCTAGTTGGGAATCGCATTTGGGGCATTTCGGGAATGTTTCCATTAAATTTGAGCATTCTAAGATGTCCTGTTGGTAATCTTGATATCGCCGTTTGTTCTTTATTTTTCTTTGTTATCATAACCATTATTTAAAAAGAAGTCTCTCGATACGATGTGTTTGATCTAATCACAAAAAGCAATAGACATCTCAAAATAGCCATGGTATGTTATAACCAGGTTCTTTTATCTCTATAGCTATATATTATGTTATGAATAAGATAGTTCACTCTCCCCCCTATAAAACCTGGAGAGGTGGGGGCTATAGAAGAGGCCCACCTACCAACACTAAAAGAGACATTACCTAGCTGTAACAATAACTTGCCAAATTTTATGGCTGAATATGAGGATGTGTGCATTAAGAGTTTTGAGATGCCCTCTATAAAACGGCCATAAAACGCTGATAAACACAAATAAAATTGGTTTACTATTTATTAATATGGCCCTAATTTGTTCCCTAATGTCTCAGCAATCTATATAGTGTGAGCTATGCAAATTAATTTAAATAACCGAATAGAGTATATTTGATTGAGTGAAAGACATCAACCCTTATTTACATACAGTTAAACCTGTCTATAGCGCCCCCTATAAATAGTGCCTTCCTCTCTATAGCGCCCGATTTTAAATATTAAAATGTAAACATTTTACATTAAAAGTGACCTGTCTATAGCGCCCCCTCTAAATAGTGCCTTCCTCTATATAACGCCCGATTTTAAACAATAAATGTAAACATTTTACATTAAAAGTGACCTGTCTATAGCACCCCTTCTCTATAGCACCTTATTTTGGTGAGTCCCAAGAGGGGGCGCTATAGATAACTGTTTATCTAGGAAGAAGTTGTGATACCTGGGCCAGTAAGATTGCTGATATTTGGGATACATTGATAGATGATTCTAAGTTTTCGTCTGTTTTAATATATATAAACTTGGTTTAAATGAATAAATAGACCTTTTTATCTTTAATCTTTTCTATTGATCTTTCATCTTTATATAAGTTGCTGATGGCTTGCGTCATCTTTTGGAATAAATATCCACTAATCGTTCTTTTTTTTTTCTTATTCCAGAATTGGCTAAATACCCATTCTTGATTAATCAAGAAAAGCTAACCACATAAGCCTTACGGTCTGTTAGTTCCTCATCAGTGTGGTACAAGCTGTACCTCAACGACCAAAAAACTAATGTCTTTTAGGCATCCTGAAAATCATGGAACGGGTATTTAAGGCCGGAAGGGCATGAAAAAGCCAAACTATATGGGAAAGATTATATACAAGTATAGTAGTATGAATGAAAGTAGTAGTATGGATAGTATATATAGTGTGAGAGAGATGATTAAACCGTATAAGAGATACATTAATTATGTGAATCTCATCTTGGATCAATATACTATTCATTAATAAAAATTTCCGATACTTTGACGCAGCTGGTTGCCCATCTTCTTCTAGTAGATCGAGTGGAAATACGAAGCCGCACACCTAACCATTAAGCTACGCTTGGCATCAAGTATGGCATCGAGTGGATAAAAGTGTCCAGGGATGGGAAACGAACCCACAGTGTTCAGTTTACCGGGCAGATGCCATGTCCACTAGGCTACCCTAGTAGATCGAGTGGTCTATCTAGGTTCTTCTGGAAGAAAATGAATGACCATCTACGTCGGTATTGTTTACGCTATATGTGTGATATAAAATAAGGAGAGAGAATAAACACTCCGGATGTTAGAAGTGACAAGGAAGACACAGCCCTAGAAAAAAGGTGCTGGTGCGGCTCGACCAATGAGATTGTTCAGTGTGAAGGCATCTCGTTTGATACCTAACCCTAACTGTCCGTGACATCATCGTCTTTGCTTAAAGCTAATTTATAAATTGAAATGACTTCCAACCCAAAAAACGGTCTTTAACAAACATACAGGCTCTTTTTATAACCAGGGTGTTCACAACTGAGGTCAAAGGTCGGGCATTTGACTGTCCCCGCTATGTATTGTCACCCCTATTTCTGGGTCGTCAGCTTTCCTTCAACTTTATTGTTTCCTTACAAGTTACAATGAAGGGTAGTATCTTTTATTAGATATAGAGTATAAATTAATTAATATATGCTATACAAATATTTGAGTAAATTCGTACAACACCTTGATGTTTTTGATTTATTATTCCTAGTACACGTGTGTGTACGTAAGTCGTCTGAACAACATATGGAAAACTCTATCGTGGTAATACTATATCTACGCCATAAGAAATGCTGCCATTATAACTTGATTCTATATCTCTCTCTTTATTTCACGGATTCGTATAACCGCAATAATCAGTTCCAAATCAACAGAAGCAATATAAGTCTTCTAAACAACATATGGAACACTCTCTCATGGTAGTGCTATATCTACACCATGTATGCTATATGAAATGTTGCGACTATAACTTGATTATATATCTCTCTCTTTATTTCATAACTACATATAACCGGATCAAAATCAGATCCAAATCAACAGATACAATATAAGTCGTTTAAACAACATATGGAACACTCTCTCATGGTAGTGCTATATCTACACCATCTACGCCATATGAAATGCTGCGATTATAACTTGATTCTATATCCCTCTCTTTATTTCATAATTTCATATAACCGGAATCATCAGCTCCAAATCAAGAGATACAATATGAGTCTTCTAAACAACATATTGAAGAATCTCTCGAGGTAATGCTATATCTACGCTATAAGAAATGCTGCGATTATAACTTGGTTCTATATTTATCTCTTTATTTCATGGATTCATATAACCGGATCCATCAACTCCAAAGCAA